ATTATTCTTATTATGATCATGATTATTTTTATTGTTATGATTATGGTGGCTGTTATTGTTGCTATCACTCCATGGCCTTTTGCTAAATTTTATTTTTGTAATGCTATCAGCAGTAACCAAATGATTTGTGTTATTTTAAATTCATGTTTTTTATGCTACTGTAGTCACTGCTAATAAGAATATTTCTTCAGAGGCTGATTCTCAGCATTTCATGACTTCTTTTTGATATCTATAGTATACTAAAGTTATGAATCAGTTACTCAGCTACATCCTAAGTATCTTGGAATAATAATATAATGGTGTAGATACATACTTTCATTTACCACCCTATTTCCAGGCATACCCGACCTGCAATTTAATTTTTTTTCACAAACCAGTCCCTTTTACCCATTGGAGAGATTTCAAGCACCTGCAGATGCAGGGAAGGCGGAGTATACCCTCTGAATGCTGACATATGGCCATTGTTTGTACGCAAAGGTCATATCTATTCTTCCTTGCATTTGTATTAGCGACATTAGGCCCTAGTTTCCGGCCCTAGAGTCTACTCCAGGGTATGTTTATATTTTTCAGCCGGAGGTAGATGCACCTCCATGAGGAGGTAGCGTGCTAGCAAAATTCGCAAAATACGGGCTGAAGAGGCTCATGGCAGATATATCGGCTCCCTTCTGTGTCTGGCCGGTCTCAAGAAAAAGGTAGGATTTTAACGGAAACCAGGTGTGGGAATAAGCCCAAGACCTAGCAATGAGGGTAATGGACAAAGGGGAACTGAAAATCCCAGTAATTAAAAAAATTTAAAATGATTAAAAAAGGGAAGTAAAAAGTCCTATAATTAAAAATTTTAAAATAATTAAAAAATGGAATTGAAAATCCCTATTATTAAAAACTATTAAATAATTAAATTTTTTTTTTAAATGTTCCCAAAGGGAAATAACATCTTTTCAGCCACATATCCGAACTGATAAAAATGGGAGAGAAAAATTCCCCACCGTCTTTAACAACATTTAGTGGACACAAAAAAATATTGTAATACTTTAAGGCCTAGACTAAGGACCAATCAATGCCCCCTATAGAAGAATAGTTGTCATTTATCAATTGTGCATGTGTTGAATTATCATTTTTTTTCCTCAATGTAATGTGTGTTATAAGTCATGATTGAATATTTGCAGAGATCATACCCAACTATATTTTATACTATTTAAGTAACGTAATTATGTTCATTTAGTGTCTCTCCTATATAATTTTGTCCTTGAATAGTAGTTGCATATTGTAATTGTGATGTTAAGTTTTTCTGTTTAACTATTATCATTGTTTTAAGACATGATTGAATATTTGCCGAGATCACATCCAACTGTACTTTACTTTATTTTTGAAGTAACATAATGAATCCAATTAGTTTTTTGTTCTTAAATAATGATGTCAATGATTACTAGCTATATAGTGTAATTGTAACACTTAATTTATTTTTTTTTCTTTTTTAATTAGAATGCTTATTGTAAGGAACATATTTTTCTTTTGTTAGTCTCTCTCCAGAGAACAAATGTTTTGCATGTTTTAGATCCTCAAAATAGGATCTCTTTCTGAAGAATTTTAGTAAGGTTAAGGTGTATAATAATTTTTACTTTCCTGTAATCTGTTGAGAAAATCATATGAAATTGTAGGTATTAGACAAACACATTAGATAATTCGGCCCCATTTTTTTTGTAAACTAATATTAGTTAGCATACATAGAAAAGGCTCTCAGAAAATGATTAATGCTTCGTCTGAAATATAAAAATTTCAGGGTGGTGGTGGGGAGTGTTGTGAAAAAGCTGAAGCCATGACCTGATACCTGAATCTGAACTCTGAAATAAACCACATGGGGCTGGAGATCAAGTGTGAAATTGATACTCTCCCTCGTATTTTCTCTGGGCAGGTTAAACGTTTATGGTGGGTGACAACAAGATATATGGCTGGATCCATGGGCCTATAGCACCTGGGCATTAAGTGCCACTGGAGGTCAAAATGGGCCAAAAGATCAGCTATTCCCATGACCACCAAACACACAAACATTCACCCGTATGTATGTACATGCCCCTGGAGAAATACCCTATAAACCTGGGCAATTTTCACCCTCTTCTGCCCAATAGACCGGTTGAAGTAGCTCCACTCAAAAGGGGAAGAACTCCCTTTGGTCCTGGAAGCCTATTGGCTGATCTGTCCAAGCCAACACGCCCTGCCATCTGGGTCCTTCAAGAACGCCAGAGGCAGTCAGACACAGAGAGCCTAGTTAGAACTTTCCCCGGGGCACGAATAAGATCTCATATTTTATATACTTAAGGGGAAGGTGGCATTGAGGCATAGAGGAATCATGTAGCTTCTAAATAAAATTAAGTGTCAAGTACATGGAATATTCATTATTACTTCGCACGCTATAACTCTGGCCTAGCAAGATCAACAACGATGCGACATTATTTTCATAAATTTGTTTTTTTTCGTTCCTATCTCCCATTTACCCTTCTTTTCCGGTGGCCCCCCAGGGGTTAAAAGCGTGCACGCGGTGCCATCTACTCTCCCTTCTTCACCGCTATCCTATC